AAAAAATCAAACACAATAATTATCATAGTAATATTTCACTGTAAAATAACTTAAGAAAATGTTATTATTATTATTAGTATTACTAATTGTTACTAAAATAATTATTATTACCATAACAAATAATAATAATAATAATATTACCAAAGCATCAAACAAAATAATTGCTACTGCTAAGATTGCACTGTAAAAAATAAACATCTAACACTTAAGAAAATAATAATAATAATAATAACTATTACCAAAAAATCTAACAAAAAATTACCAATGTAAGATTTCAATGTAAAATAAACATCTAACACTTCAGAAAATAATAATAATAATAATATTTTTATTACCAAAAAAAAAAAATTATTACAAATGTAAGATTTCAATGTAAAATAAATAAAATAATATAATAATAATAGTATTAATATAAATAATAATGATAATAAAATAACTAAATTTACTACAATTATTGCTATAATAATTAGTATATAATCTAATATTTAGTATATTTAGTTATTACTAGAGAAATATCAAACCATTTTTTTTTTCATCGTGAAAGAAAAAGATCTAATATTTAAGAAACATGAAAAAATAATGATGATGATAATAAAAATTATAATAACACATTTAATATATTTAAAAAGAAAACAATAATAATAATAATGTTCACTCTATAAACGTAATGTTAACACTTTTTAAAAAGTCAATTTCTAATTAAATTAAACAGTTTTTAATAACATATTTCAGTACTGAATAAAATCTGATTAATAGTTTGAAACGATCGTGAGACAAATGTGAAACGATCATGTTTTTGTTTTGATAGCCATTTTGCAATATCACAATTTATTGTGCAGCCCTACATAAATATGTAAATTATGACATGATTTTAGTCAGAATAATTTCATATTTCACACAAACACAGGACAAAATAATGCAAATGATGCATACGATTGACATTTTATCTGTGTATTTGACTATTGTTGCATTGTCACAGAGAATTATGGTAAATGTAGTGTGGTTGCACAGCCTCACATCACAGGTGAAGCAAGCATCATGACAAACATGGCCCTGACTGGTGACTGTTAATAATGCTTTAGCAAGGTTTTGAGGTGAAAGGAGACAGAACAGAAAGCCTGACCTCAGCCTGAGTCAGGAAGAACTGAGAGGCCGCCTCGGGCTGGACGCGATCCGTCTTGAGCTGCTCGTGGCATCTCCTCCAGAAGGCCAGCCGCGTCTCCTGCCTCTCCCACTGACGCTTCTGCTGATGAGCGCACAGATCTCGCAGCAGCTGCCGGGAAAAAGAGGACAGAAGCTCCTCGCTTAGCACTTCTGCAGCAGCTTATGGTGTTCCCTAAAGGCCAACTTGTATTTCTGGAGGTCATTTGTGACTCTGTCTGTGAGAACCCAGCTAAAGTCATTTTTTTGTGATTTACTGTTTTCTACATAAAATCAACATGAAAATAGCCTTTATATCTTTAATATTGACTGAGTAAGGCCATGTCAAAGATTGAAATCATAGTGAAATTAATAGTTGAAATCAAACTGATGCTTGTTATCCCAATAATTAGATTTTGAGACTTTAGCCTGGATTTCACAGAGTCACATTTCATAAATTTCACATTTCATAAATTTAGGGATTCACAATTTCACCACAAACCTGTGATTATATATCAATTTGATGACAAAATAAATAAATAAATAAAATGTTATTATATTACTACTACTAAAAAACAAACAAAATGTTACCATTTTAATATTTCACTGTAAAACAAAAATAATTTAATAATAATAATAAAAAAAAGTCTTACTCCTATTCGTCTTCTTATTAAAATAAAACAAAGTAATATTGCCATTGCAATAATTTGCTGTAAAACAAAAATCTAATATTTAAGAAAAAATAAATTATTATTCATAATTATTATTATTAAACATAATTTTATTATTGTAATATTTCACGGTGAAATACAATTTAATACTTAATAACATTATTATTGCAATACTTCAATGTGAAAAAAACAAAATAGGAAAATAATAAAAAATTATGATTCTTCTCATTATTACAAATAAAATCAAAGTAATGCAATTAAATTTAAAAATAAATTATGCATAGAAAAAAAATAATTGTAACATTTCACTATAAAAAAATCAAACATCTAAGAAAAACAATAGGAAGAATAATTTTATAGTGCAACTGTAAAATTACTATATCTAAATTATTTATGTCTCAATTATTTTCAAACGTGAAACCATTGAGCTTTTATTTTGGCAGAAAGCCACAGGGCATCAAACATATATTTAATAATTGTGATATCAGCCCTAGATACATAATTCTGTAAATTATGACATGATCATTAAATGATTTTAGTCACAATAAAATTATCACGTTGGCCAATTTCATATTTCACAGGAAGCTTTTTTTTAGTGCAGATGCAAACTGATTGATGTTTTATTTGTGTATTTTATTCGTTCCTGCACAGATTTATGGGAAAAATAGTTTGGTTGCACAATCCTATACTACCTCACATAAGAGCTAAAGGAAGTATTTTATGACAAGATTTATTGCTATTCCTCATCAGGAGTAGATACAATGTGCATATCATGAATTACTTCATTATTATTTAATTATCCAATTTGATCCCAGATTTGCTCTAAAGCGTCACCTCCTTTATGATCAGGCAGTCGATGGGCAGCTCGGCCAGCTGCGCGACGGTCCTGGCCTGCGTGAAGAGGCCGAGGTCCTGCAGCTGCTGCATGATGGTCCTGCACTCGTCCTGCAGGCCGGCGCTGGAGTACTGGTCCAGCAGATGCGCAGACAGCGGCACAGGAGTGTCCGACAGCACCTGACTCAGCTGACTCAGCTTCCTGAAGTCAGGCCCTGCACACACATCACACTAGCGCTCAAAAGCCTGGAACAATCACTGTGCTTTAATGCTTTTGAAACAAGTCTCTTCTGCTCACCGAGGATGCATTTATAGACGGTTTCAACGGCAACAACAGCATTTATACAGTAAAAACAGTAATACTGTGAAATTTTATTATTATTAAATTTTTTTAATACATTCTCTTTTCATTTTAATGTTATATTTTTGGTTTTCATTTTTTTTTTTACATTTTCTGTTTTCATTTTAATTTAATATTTTGCATTTATACAGTAAAAACAGTAATACTGTGAAATTTTATTAAAATATAATTTTTAAAATACATTCTCTTTCCATTTTAAATGTTATATTTTCTGTTTTCATTTTTTTTTTTTTACATTTTCTGTTTTCATTTTCATTTTATATTTTGCAATGTTATATTTTCGGTTTCCTTTTTTTTTTTTTTTACATTTTCTGTTTTCATTTTAATTTTATATTTTGCATTTATACAGTAAAAACAGTAATACTGTGAAATTTTATTAAAATAGAATTTTAAAAATATTCTTTTTTCATTTTAATTTTATTTTTGTATTTCCTGTTTTCCGTTTATTTCTTAGGTTTCAGTAACTTTGTTGTATATGGTCCGTGTACTTTTGCGTCCATTCGTTTTTAGTTTTTTAACCCAGAAATGAAATGCGGTTTCTCCTTTAATGTTTCAAACACTGATGAATAGAATAAGCAGACACAAACTCATTTTCATTATTCAAAATTCGTATTTCATTAAAAATCGTAAAAATGATACAAAGCTTGTTTTTAATGTATACAAATGCTACATTTAATTTCTACCTTTTTAAGCGTCTCGATACAAACGCTAGCTGACGTGACGTGGCTACCATAACTGCTTTATGAAAACCTTATATTTTTATGATCTTAATAATTTTTCACGCCTAAAAACATGTAGCCAATGAAATACGCATTTCTTTGCAAATAACTGTATCCTGGGCAAGTTCTACGGGAGGGAACGAAACGAAAGCAAGAGACTTTGGTTAAAGCTAGAAATAGGAAACTGGCGAAACATTTTCCAAACGCTCCTGTGTGTATTTGTGTTTGAACCCTGGAGGTTTCTATTTTCAATGTGTTTTGTAGCACTGATCAATAGCCATCACTGACATGTAATGTTGATTTCCTGAGTGGCCAAGCTTTTAAGCTAGAATCAACTCCAAGCCACAGCTTTGTTCAGTGCTGCACGCTCAAGAGTCTCTCATTTTATACATGATGTAAATTAGAGATTCATTGTGCAGAGCAGAGCCTCATTGGATAACGGATATTTGTGAGATCGCGATAAACTGAAATGAATGACAGCTTTATAATTATTAGCTGTGCGCGCTCTCTTGGCTAAATCCATTCAGAATGTTAATACATTTTGTTTTTCATGATGCTATTGGACCTATTGGAAGGTTTGCTAAACCTTCTGTAACTTAATAGTCTGTATAAAATACAGCATGTGGAGCCATGCCTCATTTTATTCGTTTTTGTTAATAAACGTTATGTACGCTAGTTTGTCATTATAGCTTACGGTTTTATTGTTGTTGTGCTTTTGAATTAAGAATAACAATGAATCCATCTTTTGTTTTAGTCTTAAAAAGTGAAAGGTGTATAGATATAAGCAAAACAGACAATTATCTTTTCTTGTAAAACGGGACAACAAGATCGCGAATTCGAAAGCGAACGTAAAAGCGTCTAAAGTCCGGCTTATAACACAGCAAAAGAGGAATTCCCATTCACAAAATTTAAATCACAAATAATACTGATGTATAAGGCTAGAGCACCCTCCGTGATTTGATTCAGAAACCAGGCCTGCCTGTATCTGGAGATTATAACTTTATATATTTCTATATTAGCCTATATATATGTACCCCGTATATTAAACCGTGTGTAGTGCTCGAACACAGTGTGTAGCCTACTGTACGTGCATCGAGCGACCATGCTCTCCGATAACGTACCCAGATAGCACACAAAATTACAAAATTATCCCAATATATAATTTCATGATGATAGATTTCCCAGGATTCATGCAGTCTATTTTAAAAATCATATTTGTATTAAGTCTCTGCATTGTTCCAAAGACGGCTCTAGTTCTCAACTGAACGTGAGGGAGAAGCATTGCTAAATTTGGCCAAAGAAAATTTGTTAAAATCGAAATTTTTCTATATTGCCTGTATCTGGAGATTATAACTTTATATATTTCTATATTAGCCTATATATATGTACCCCGTATATTAAACCGTGTGTAGTGCTCGAACACAGTGTGTAGCCTACTGTACGTGCATCGAGCGACCATGCTCTCCGATAACGTACCCAGATAGCACACAAAATTACAAAATTATCCCAATATATAATTTCATGATGATAGATTTCCCAGGATTCATGCAGTCTATTTTAAAAATCATATTTGTATTAAGTCTCTGCATTGTTCCAAAGACGGCTCTAGTTCTCAACTGAACGTGCATTTTTCAAATGTTTATTAAAAGTGCAAAAACACTGTGCATTAACAAAAATCTGAAAAGAAGTCAATATTTAACTTTTTCGGGCAGCATTTTGTGTACGGTTCTACTTTCAGTTTTGGTTTTCAGCATAGCATTTAAAAAAAACAATAACCGTTCTTTTTTCATTTTTTTCCGTCATGGTTAAAAAACGAAAAACGAATGGACGCAAAAGTACACGGACCGTATATTTTTGTCCTTTTTATTAGATTGTTTTAATTTTTTTTTACTTTTAGATTTTATGTTTTTATTTTAATTTTTTATATTTTCTGTTTTCATTTTATTTTTACATTTTCTGTTTTTATGTAAATTTTGATATTTTTTGTTTTCATTTTTAGACATTTTCTGTTTTCATTTTATTTGTTATATTTTTGGTTTTCATTTTCATTTTATTTTTGTATTTTTTGTTTGCCTTTTAAAGTTTTGTTGTATGTTTTTGACATTATATTAAATTTTTCCTTTAAATGTGTCTATATAGTAGGGTTTAACGGTACATGTATTCGTACCAAAAATTTCTTTTTTATGTTTTGATATGAATATATTTCAACAACAAATAGAAATTGTATAATTCAGAAGTTTGTTTAAAAACTGCATTATGTGCAATGTTTGCCTACAATTTTTCTTTAAGTTGAGGGTTGACTATTATAATTAAAAAATAAATAGTAATTAAATTTACGTTTAGGCTCTGTTGTTAATTGTAATCTTATAGTAATGTAAAAGGGCTCACTATAGTTCAGTTTAGAGCAGAAGCCGAGGTAGATTTTTATTCCTAAGAAAATGTTAGCTATAATTTAATTTATTTAAAGAAAGAGCAACTTTTTCAATTGAAGCACCATTTAATAATAAAAAAAAAATTCTCCCTGCTGTACCGAAATCATACCGAACCATGACGTCAAAACCGAGGTACGTACCGAACCGTCATGTTTGTGTACCGTTACACCCCTACTATAAAGTTTGTATATGTTTTATTTATTTTTATTCATTTATTTATTTTATTTTAATTGTTTTAGTACCTCAGCTTAAACTGAATAAAAATTAGAAAGTTGCCTTGGCAAAATTTTTTTATGTTTTATTTCAGTTAATGTTCATTTTTTATGGTTTTACTTTTAGTTCTACTTAACGACAATAACCCTAATTCATAGAATATAGCACTTTCCCATTATAAAAAAAACTTTTATATTTTCATACTACTACATAAACTATTGTTCAACAGTTTGGGGTCGGTTAGAAGTTTTTATTGATAATAATCAGAAATGTTTCTTGAGCATCAAATCAGCATATTAGAATGATTTCTGAAGGATCATGTGACACTGAAGACCGGAGTAATGATGCTGAAAATACAGCTTTGATCACAGAAATAAATTATATTTTAACATATATTCACCAAAAAAAAAGTCATTTTAAATTGTAATAATATTTCACTATTTTTACTGTAATAAATACAGTAAAAATTATTTGAGTAATTTTTACTCAAATAAACACAGCCTTGGTGAACAGAAGAGACTTGTTTCAAAAACATTTAAAAATCCTAATTATTCCAAACTTTTTTTCCCCAGTGCTAAATGTGGACTCTTGTAAACGTGGTTTAGAGCAAAAATCGATGCCGAATCGGAGTCTGACCGTTGGATTTGAGCAGTCGCTCCATGTCCACCAGCAGCTGAAGCAGCCGGCGCAGCTCGTACTGAGTCCTGCTCTGCTTGAGGAGCGTCAGCAGCAGAGCCGAAGCCTGAGACTCGACCCACTGGACCGGCAGCACGTCTGAACTCAACACCACACTGCTGCCAGCATGTAAATCAGCGGAGACTCCTGCAAGAAATACAGAGACATGCATGAAATAATATTTTACACACTTCCGTTTTTTTAAAGAAATTAATACTTTTATTCAGCAAGGATGCATACAATTTATCAAAAGTGACAGTAAAGACATTTATAATGTTACAAAATATTTCTATTTCAAATAAATGCTGTTCTTTTGAACTTTATGTTCATCAAAGAATCCAGAAAAATAAAATGTATCACAGTTTCCACAAAAATATTCAGCAGCAAAACTGTTTTCAGTCTATGAGGAAAGACATTACACCACAATAAACATGAAACAACATCAGTGTTATTATTGTTAAACTAAAATTATTAAAATCATTTTCATTCATTGAAAAAAGCTGAAATATATATATATGAATATTAGAAATCATTAAACTTACATGAAAATTGAAAATGAAACTGCAATAAAATAGTTTGCTGAAGTACTAAAATTAATAAAAGTTAAATAGAAATATTTAGAAAAATATGTTTAATGAACTTTTAATAAAAGTTCAAAATATCAATAAATATTAATAATACTTAAATAACACTGAACAACATACATATGAAAAACACCTGCAAAGTCAGTTATCTTAAAAACTTAAATGAAAATTTAATTTAAAAAATGTACGCTGAAGTATTAAACTTCCTACAACTAAAGTCAAAAATAAAATAAATATAAAATGTATAAATATAAATTAAAGCCAAATAGAAAAAAAAATTAATAAAAATTACAAAAACACATTACACTACTAAAACGAAATATATAAATTATATATTATATATAATACTAAAATAACACTGAAATACATATTTATGTAAAAAAGTAACATGGACACATGCAAAAAAAGAAAAAAAAGGAGAAAAAAAGAAAAGTCAATTACCTTAAAAATTGAACTGAAATAAAATTGTTTAAGTTGATGTACTAAAACTTCTAATACTAAAAAAAAAAATTATAAAACTAAAATAAAGCTAAATAGAATATATTACAAAACGTACACAAAGCACATAAAATCACTAAAATGTAAACTAAATAAAAATAAAAACTGTAATTAAAAATAAATTAATAAATACTATAGGGCTGGACGATATGGCCAAAATTGATATCACGATATATTTCTTAATTTCGGTCGATACGATATAATTCCGATATCGATATGAACACTATTTATCTGAAATAGAAATCTTTTGTAACATTATAAATGCCTTTATCATCACTTTTGATCAATTTTAAGCATCCTTGCTAAATAAAAGTATTAATTTCTATAATTTCTTTCCCAAAAAAATAATAAAAATTATACTGAATGGAATAGTGTATAATGTTACAAAAGCTTTTTATTTCAGATAAATGCTGATCTTTGGATCTTTCTATTCATCAAAGAATCCTGAAAAAAAAATGTACTCAACTGTTTTAAATATTGATAATCAGCAAATCAGCATATTAGAATGATTTCTGAAGGATCATGTGACACTGAAGACTGGAGTAATGATGCTGAAAATTTACCTATGTATGATCACAGGAATAAATTACATTTTAAAATCTATTCAAATAGAAAGCAATTTTAAATAGTAAAAATATTTCAACATTTTACTGTTTTTGCTGTACTTTGGATCAAATAAATGCAGCCTTGGTGAGCAGAAGAGAATTCTTTAAAAAAAAACACACAAAAAAAACACATTAAAAATCTTACTGTTAAAAAACTTTAGACTGGTAGTGTCGGCTGATTATTCTTATAGATTGAAACAAATGTGCTTCAGCCAGAAAAAAGGGTATGAAAAGTGCTCCGAGTCGCTGCAGAAAACAAAAAAATTGAACAACAAAAACTGGAAATGTTGCTGGAGACGGGCTTATTTAAAATGAAAACTCATGCTCTGCTAGCAGGAGGCGCTTTTAGAGTGATAAAACTAGCGGTTTCTCCAGTAACGGCTGTAATCAAAGCAGCTCCGCTCATGAACGCTTCTTTATCAGATCAAATGAAAATGCCATCGAAACTTTTCTGAAGACAGTCGGTTCCCTTCACAGATACATTTATATAAAACACCCGCGACATTTTTTGATTTTGAAACGTGCAGTGCTCATGTTTATTCAACGAAGTCAAACGGCACAAATAAATCAATGTATGGGAAACTGGTAATGTATATGGAAATATCGGAAATGTGTTTAAAAATCATATCACCGTTATTGAAAAAAATTATATCGCGATACATATTGATATTGAATTATTGTCCAGCCCTAAAATACTATAATATTATATAAATAATGCTAAAACAACACTGAACAATATATTTTGTGAAAGTAACATGGACACCTGCAAAAAATAATATAATAATATTTTTTTATTAAATAAAATCTAAAATATATAATGTAGAATATATTTTACATAATAAAATATAATAATATATTGTCGCCAATAAAGTGTGTGGATGATGGAAAAATATCATGCACGCTAAAATTGTTGTGTATGCCAAAGAAACTCAAGTTACGTCTTTAAACTGATCCGAGTTCTGCTCTGCATTTCAGTAGATTTCAGATCAGAGAGCCTCTTACCCTCTGAAACAGCTGGAATCCACGAATCAGAGGCCTGATCTTGCTCCTGCACAGCAGCGTCTTCCACAAGACGGAGAGATCGTGGAGGTTCCACACGTGATGGGCGGGGCTCTCCTGGATGTGGGCGGTGGCTTCCTGAGTGACATCATCACCGACAGATGCCAGGATCCACACGCAGAGACACTGCAGCAGCTCGGCGGCCTGTCAATCAAACCACACACACACACTTGCATTTGTGGTTTACGGGGACTCTCCATAGGCATAATGGTTTTTATACTGTACAAACTGTATTTCTATTGCCCTACACCAACCCTACACCTAAACCTACCCCTTACAGGAAACTACTGGCAATTTTTGAATTTCATAAAACACCGTTTTGTATGTTTTCTAAGCCTTTTGTTTTATGGGGACACAGGAAGTGTGTCATGTCATTATACACATTTGTGTCCTCAAACCACACACAGACATACACTCACTCACTCACTCACTCACACACTCACTCACTCACAGACACACTCACTCACTCACTCACACACTCACACACTCACTCACAGACACACTCACTCACTCACACACTCTCACACACACACACAGACACACACACACACACACACACACAGACACAGACACTCTAGGTTAACCTTACAGTAGTGCTCAATACTGATTACTGTCACTTTCGAAATCTTTCATCGCTTGAATTAAGATTATAATAATTTAATTTTAAAGCACAGTCACAAAATCAGACTTACTTTGAGATCATTCTGAGGTTAAATACAGATTTAAAACCAAAACAAGATATAGTTTAATAGCTATGATACTGTTTTTTTAAATCAAATCTTGCATAGTTATGACAGGAAACACTGGCATCTAAAAATGCCTTGGGGAAACACAGTTAATCTTAAAAAAGAAAGCATATACATAAACCCAAATAAGAAATAAAACAGCTATTGAATAAGCAAGTGTCCTATTCTGTGTCCTAAACTCCTGAAACACTGGTGTCTCATATTTTAGAGCAGTCACCGCAATTTATGAAATTAATTAATTAAATCTGTATGTGTGTGAGAGAGAGAGAGAGAGAGTGTGTGTGTGTGTGTGTGAGTGAGTGTGTGTGTGTGTGAGTGTGTGTGTGTGAGAGAGTGTGAGTGTGTGTGTGAGAGAGTGTGAGTGTGTGTGAGAGAGAGAGTGCGT